GGTCAGTAATCCCACAGTGGACAGTGTCCCCACCTCACAGCAGTGTTCCCACAGTGGACGGCGTCCCCCAGTGGTCAGTAATCCCACAGTGGACAATGTTCCCACCTCACGGCAGTGTTCCCACAGTGGACAGCATCCCCACAGTGGGCGGCGTCCCCACAGTGGACAGTACCCCCACAGTGGACAGTACCCCCACAGTGGACAGTGTCCCCACCTCATGGCAGTGTTCCCTCAGCAGGCAGCATCTCCGAAGAGATACAGAGGTTAAGCCAAGGGGAGGTTCCCTGGGGTCAGGGTCAAATCACCCCCTGGGGAGGGGTCTGTCCAGGGCCACAGTCCCAGCCAGCAGTCTGTGCCAGGCCCCACCTCCTGGAGCTCCCATGGACAGCACTGACCATGCAGAGCCGTGTCCTATAGATGGAGTCCAGGCCCATGGTGGTCAAGGAGGCAGCCCAGCCTTGTCTGACCAGCACAGTGCCAGGAGCGTGGTCAGCTCTGCAAAGCCAGCGAGGCAGGGCTTCCCTGAGAGGTGACTGCAGAGCAAGCAAGCACGCTGGTCAGGAGGCCATGGACACAGGAGTGAGGCTCGGGGGGGGAAGGGGGGGGCAAGAGCTGCAGGCCGGAGACTTCGGCTCCTGAGGGCCTGGACCAGATGTCCTACCGGGGGCCGACGTGCAGGCTGACAGCCCAGCAGCTGAAGGGCACAGGGTCGTAGTGGGCAGACATGGGTAACCAGGGCTGGCTTTATTAGAAAACCACGTCTGTCCAACCCCAAGGCCACAGGCACCTGCTGAGAACCCCAGAGGCCAGCTGGACACACTGAAGCTGACACAGCTAGGGTCACCAGGAGATGACCATCTGCAAAGTCCTCTAAATAGTTGGAATGAGCAGGTGGACGGCCTCGGGGACAGGGCCCCACCGGGCATCTGCGCTGTGGAGTGAGGTGCTGGCGATCAGGTGGGCAGAAACCCCAGCCGCAATCTGAGTCAGAGAACCCAGGGTGAGGTGACTTCCTGTCCCCTCAACAGTGATCTGAGGTACGGTGGGCGCCCATCCTGGACGAACAGGCCACTCCCCTTGGTGTCAGTGCCAGACAGCCCCACCTGACACCTCAGTGGTGTCGTCCGGGTGGACGTCCAGGACAGCTTGTCCATCGCTGGGACCAGTGACTGTCGGCCTGTCCAATGAGGGCCCGCAGAGCATGAGGCCCAGCCGCCGTGGGCCTCAGCACTGTCACTGTGTCACGTAGATGTCAGTGTCACGTGGACAGCTGTCCCATGCTCAGGAAGAAAGCACACCCTGAGAAGAGCCATTCGCAGTGGACAGGGTAGAGCGCTGGGGGCTACATTCAGTGCGGTGCGCAGAGGGGCCAGCACCTCACAGGATCAGAGGGGGCGGTGAGGAGAGAGCTCAGGGGAGAAGGGCCCACACCTGCAGCTGCTCCCACAAAGGCCTTTGGGAGGACGTGGCCAGGTCCTGTCCAGCTCCCAGCACCAACCCCACTCCCAGCCCCGCACCAGCCCCCCAAAGCCCAAGGAGGGTCCAGCATGCTGCTAACCAACCAGTGAGCCCTGGCCCTGCTGACCATGTGCACATCGTCCACTCTGCACTGACAGAGCTCTCCAGACCAGGACAAAGAACTGAGCTGAGTACAGCCTGGAGGAGCGGGCAGAGGAGGGCCACGTGGGAGGGGAGTCCATAGCGGGAGAGCCAGGCGGGAGGGGAGGACCACGCAGGAAGGGGGAACAAACAAGAGGGCCAGTGGGAGGGGAGGGTGTAGCGGGAGGGGAGGGCCACGCGGGAGGGGGAGCTGCTGACCGCTGAGATAGCCCACACATCACAGGTGAGGAAATCACTGGTCCCGAGGACCCGCTCGATGTCCAGTGATGTGTCCCGGCAAGGGAAGCAGTTCCAGTTGACCTGCACCTTGTCTGGTGGCCAGCCAGCAGAGGCCTAGGCCTGCAGGACCCAGGGCTGGTCTGCTCCTCCCTCTGCTGCCCTTCAGCAGCCCATGGGGCTGTCTGCAGGGTGGCCATGGGCAGATGCAGACCCGTGGCTCTGGATCAGAGCCCTGGGACCATGCTGCTGGAGTCAAGGGTGCAGGTGACACCCACCAGGCCACAGGCACATTGCCCCGGGCCCGCCTCCCCAGGGGGCTCACATAGGAGACTTGTCATGGAAGGCCTGGCTGCTGGACAGAGCTCCATGACCGACCTCGCCCATGTCAATACCCTCTGCCCTTGCATCACGGCCAACAGCCTGAGGGCCAGTGCAGTGGTCAGCAGAGGTGACAGTTTAATGAGCCATCAACACCGCCAGCCTGCGCCCCGCCACGCCGAGTGTCCGAGGCCACGCCGAGTGTCCGATGCCTGCGGATCCTTGGAAACGTCTAGGGTAAGGCCGGCTGCAGGGGCCAGCTGGTCAGTGCCAGCTGCTGCTTGCCACTGTCGGGCTGCAGGCCTGTGGTGATGTGTCCCGGAGTGGTGTGGATGCCCAGGGCCGGCAGGCCGTGGTCTCAGTGTCGCAGCGAAGGACTGCCCTTCTCCACGTCTCGGCTGTCCTTCTGCAGGGCAGTCAGCACCTGGGCAGAGGGACAGGTCAGCGTGGCCAGCAGTCCTCACCACGCACAGACGACCGCAGCCCTGCCCACCACCCCCTCTGCTGCCTGCCACCCACCCCCTGCCTGTCATGCACTCGGATGGGAGCCTTCCGCCCCCATCCCGCCATCCCCACCGTCAGCCTGGCTCTGCCCAGTGTGTCACCAACAGCCCCTCACCCAGACCGGCAAACCCACTACTGGGAACACCACGCCACCACGGGGGTCCCCACTGCTTCACTGGGCCTGACACCCCCTCACCAAGACCAGCTACCCCTCACCAGGCCTGAAAGCCTTTCACCAGAGCCAACACCGCCCTCACCCGGTCCAATACCCTTACCAGGTTAAGGAGACCATGCTAAGTGCATGAACTCTGCTGTCCACTTTGGGCCTTCCCTCTAGCGACAGGGCCCATGTAGAGATTGGTGTGTGGACACGTGCGTATGAGGCATAGCGTGTGCACCTAAGCATGCGTGTAGGAGGTATGGCATGTGCTCCTAAGCACGTGGTGCATGTATGTGAGACACAGTATGTCCCCATGATGCCTGTGCTATGTGCAGACCACAGTGTGTGCACATGTGCGGTGCAGGTACGTATGAACTGCAGCCTGTGCCCATGAGTCTGCACAGGTACAGGGCGTGGTGTATGTGGACGCGTGGAGTACGTATGTATGAGACGGTGCTGTAAGTATACAGGAGACACAGTGTGTCACAAGATCACGCATGGCATGCAAGACCGTGGTGTATGCAGATGTGTTGTGTATACACACACATGTGCATATCTGGTGAGTGTGTCAGGTGGACACTGTATATTATTGTGCTTACATGCACATCTTTGTGACACGTGCATACGGTGTGTACATGGTGTGTAAATGTGTGTGTACACAGGCATGCTGTACACAACAGGCAGTGTGAGTGCTGGGCAGGTGGACAGCCACTGGCCAGGAAGCAGCAGGAGGGAGCAGCCTCACACACTTGGAAAGGTGTCAACCCCATAGGATGTGACAAGCAGGCCGCTGGCCAAGGTGCCTGAGTAGGAGCAGGGCCAGGGCCTCTGAGGGGGAGGGATGGGGAGCAGCCCACAGAGGGGTCACCAGGAGGGGAAGGAGGGGAGGTGAGAGGGGGCAGGTGAGATGGGAGGTGAAATGGGGAGTTGAGATGGGAGATGAGATGGGGCAGGTAAGATGGGAGGTGAGAGGGGGCAGGTGAGATGGGAGGTGAGAGGGGGAGTTGAGATGGGAGATGAGATGGGGGAGGTGAGATGGGAGGTGAGAGGGGGCAGGTGAGATGGGAGGTGAGAGGGGGAGTTGAGATGGGAGATGAGATGGGGCAGGTGAGATGGGGAGCTGAGATGGGGGAGGTGAGATGGGGAGCTGAGATGGGAGATGAGATGGGGCAGGTGAGATGGGAGGTGAGATGGGAGCTGAGATGGGGGTGCAGTGATCCTCAGCTCAGCTGTACCACTGAGCACGGCCACTCAGGGGTGAACACGCCCAGGAGGAGTGTCTTGGCCAGGTGAGTGGTGGCCACCCTCCCTTGTTCTCTGTGGTCACAGACAGTACAGCACCCCACCTGTCAAATCCAGAGTCAAGGGCATCTCAAGGTCGGCAGAGGAGCCACACCTCACCTGGCCCCTCCCTTCCCTGGGCCATTTGGGGCTGCTCTGCTCTCAGAGCTCACCTCAGACTCCCCACATACCTGTGCCCATCCCTCATGGGAGGCCCACCTGAGCCCACTGCAGACCCAGCATGACCCCCCCACCTGCATACACCACACATGTGGCGGGGTGCTCCCCTGAGCCCAGTGCAGACCCAGCACGACCTCACACACACCTGAGCACATGTCAAACTGAAAGGTCATCCACTAAACATTGCATCCATCCTACACGGGGCAGACACCCAGCTGAACCCCCCAGAGAACCAGCAGGAGCCCCCCACACCTGCACACATCCCATGTGGAGCGACTGCTCACTCCATAAAGAGTGGGGTGCTCACCTGAGCCCCTGTCAGCTTGCGGGGTCCCCTTCATAAACCTGTGTGCACCCCATGTGGGGTGGGTGCTCACCTGAGCACCCATCAGCTTGTGAGATATCCCTCAGACACCTGTGTGCACCCACATGGGGTGGTTGCTCACCTGAGTACCTGTCAGCTTGTGGGGACCCCTCATACACCTGTGGGCCCCCATGTGGAGTGGATGCTCCCCCGTCAGCTTGCTGAGTCCCCCTCAGATACCTGTGTGCCCCCACGTGGAGTGGATGCTCACCTGAGTACCTGTCAGCTTGCGGGGCCCCCCCCACACCTGTGTACCCCCATGTGGGCGGGCACTCACCTGAGCCCACTTGCGGCCACGGCTCTGCATCTGCACCGTGGCAATGGCCGTGAAGAGCTCCTCGGGGGGCAGGTCCTCGGGCAGCCGGGTGAGGAACTGCGCCATGTGGATGAAGTCCATCCTGGCCAGCACGTCCTCGAAGAGCCGCAACACGCCCAGGGCCGTGCGGAACAGGAACTCCTCACCGTCGCGGCAAAACACGTCCCAGACGCGGCAGGCCAGGTCCAGCGGCAGCGACTTGCTGTACAGGGTGAAGATCCTGGGAGAGAGGGGCGCTGGACGAGGGCGCGGCTGGACACCTGGGGAGGCCCACCCGCCCGAGACCACTGACCACAGCGGACGCTCAACAAGGGACCCAGGCTCCGCAATGCCATGGCCACCACCTCCTTCCAGAGCTGTTTGGCGGGTGCGTGTCAGCAATTGACCGGGTGCATGTCAGCAAGGGGCCTGAGATTGGATGACCGCAAACAGACCAGTCGCCTCACAGCACAGACCCCTGAGCCACAAGGTGCCCGCGGAGCACACAGCCACCTAATGCTCTGGGCGGAGTGGACCCGCCGGCCCCCACCTTTCCTGGCATCATTTCCTTCTCCTGGCAATATGCCCAAGTGGGTGAGGTGGGTTCACCACCCTCACCTCTGGAAGCAGCGCCCTGACTGCACAGCAGGCTTGTCTGTCCTGCAGACGGTCTCTGGGCATCCACGAAGTCTGTGGACCGCAGGGTCTTGTGCTGCTAAGAGCCCTGTGTCCAAGCTCCGCCCATTTGAACTCCCCAGCAGCAACTTGGGAGAAAGGCCATTTACAAACCTGGAAATCCCTGCAGGAGGGTCAGCTAAGAGTTCGTTCCAACCAGTTGGCAATGGTTTTGAGTTTTCCAGGTCATGTATTCAATACTGTTCACCAATACAACAATTCAACAGCATCGACAAGTTGTCCGTCTTTAAGATGCAAAGGAAGCATCAGCAGACCCCACAGCTTGGGCCAGGTGTATCCTCAGACTAACATCCTTGCTCTCCAGCACTTTAACGAGGTCCTGACAGACTGCCCGGTACAGCACGTCTTCATTTCTTGACTGCTGCTACCATACGTGTTGCTTACAGATCAAAGTAAAGTGAAATAACCGAGTTTCAATCTTCTTTACCTAGGATGCTGCGGCCTGCTGGTGCAGTGGTGAGGGTTTCTGCTTCCCTCATGCCGAGGTTTAATCCACGCCACAGGCCATAGTCCCTGCTCTTATTCAGTAAATGCTTCGAAGCATCCTCATTTTTCCACAAGCAAGGGGGGTCTACGTAACTCAACATACTGACTAGTCTTCTAGTCGTGATGCCACATTCGTCTTCACAGAGTCCAGCTCCTTAAATCATGTGCTTTGCAGAGTGAAGAGCTGTGAGAAGGGGACAACCCTGACCCATCTTTTCTGAGTTTTGAAGCACACAGCATCCCCTTGTACGGCGGCAATGACTGCACTGTGGTCTCTCTCTAGGTTCACATGAGCACAGGTAAGTGTCTTCTCAGCGTCACCCACAATTTATTGGGAGAAACAGTCAAATACCTTTGCACAGTTGGTAAACACAAGGTAACCTCTTTCTGACACTCTCTCCTCCATCAAGGTCTACACTGCTGCTGTCAGCAGTCATCATCATCTCTGGTCTCATGGCCTTTTCTAAATCCAGCTTGAATGTCTAGCAGTTCCCTGTTGATGTTAATGTACAGCTCCAGTCACTTAGAAAAAGGAAAAAAAATCCCACCCAGCAACCACAAATCCATCAGCAGTATGTTATTTACAGATGGTCCTAATGATAGTGTTTGACTTCCACACACCATCGGATCACGTGTCTTATTTCTGGAATGGAACAAACAGGGGGCTCTTCCAATCACTTGATAGAGGGCCGTCTTACACATTTATTGGCATAGTTTAGTGAGCACATCCAGGGCTGCATCTGCTTCCTGAAACAATCTGACTGGTGCCCCATCAGTCCTGGGGCCTTATTTCCCCAATGCCTTCAATGTACTTCTTCCTTCAGGACCCTTGATTCTTGACCACATGGCTACTTCCTGAAGAGAGTCAGTGCCAACCAATTCCTTTTAGCACCGTGACTCTGTGTATTCTTTCTTTTCTTGGGTGCTTTCTGCATCATTCAGTGTTTGGCCCCTGGAATCCTTTCGTTTTGCAGCACAAGGCCTGAGTCTGTTCTTCAGTCCTCTCAGGGTGAGTGTCGGTTTTCTATCCCCAGCTCTGTGCGTATTTTGTTACAGGGATTTGTCTTCTCGAGCTTCCTTCAAGCGGCAGCTCTGGTCAGCTCATTCCTGGATCGTTTCTTCCCATCCTTCGGCCTTCTCTGTGTGAAGAGCAATTTCCGCAGTGTGTCCTGACACCTTCTGATCTAGATGACAATCATGTCGCCGCCCACCTGGTTTCCCACCTGATTTCCTATCAAAAGCCTTCAGTGTTCTTCTTGAGGTGGTTCGGAAATGCAGGTGGGATCAACTCAAGGACTTGTGGCTTTGTGGACTTGTTTTCCTTTTCTTCAGCTTTAAGTTTACCCATGAGTTAACTAAGAGTGTCTCCCAGAGTCAACCAGGTCTTTTTTTTTTTAAATTTTATTTTTATTTTATACTGGTTTATTTACAAAGTTCATATACATTGTTTTTCACACCAGATATTTCCCATTTCCTTCACCGCCCCCCTCAATCCATCAAATTGTGCGACCCTATCCTCACTGTGGATTGAAGCTCAACATCAAGAAGACAAATATTCTCAGCACTGGGCCAACTGGCAGCACTGTGACGGATGGAGAAGAGAATGAGTTTGTTAACAGTTACAGCTTGCTCGGCTCCACAATCAACACTCTTAACACCAGCAGTCAGGAAATCAAAAGACGAATTACATTGGGAAAATCTGCTGTCAGGGACCTCTCCAGAGTGCTGAAAAGCAACGATGTCAGTCTAAAGACTACGGTGCACCTAGTCCAGGCCATGCTTTGTAATTACTTGCTATTCATCAGAGAGCTGGACAATGATTAAGGATGACAGAAGAATCGATGTGGTGCTGGAGAAGAGTCTTGAACATACCATGGACCGCCAAGAAAACAAATGTCTGTCTTGGAGAGGGTGAAACCAAGTCTCTCCTTGGATGCTAGAAGTTAGAAGCTCCATCTCACATACTTTGGCCTGTGGCCAGGAGGGACCCGTCCTTGGAGGACATCATACTTGGGAGGGTGGAGGGACAGTGTGGGAGAGGAAGACCCTGGCAGAGATGGAAGATACAGTAACAGGGGCAATGAGGGTTGGTGTGTCTGAATTAGTGAGACTGGCTCAGGACAAGGCAGGGTTCAGAGCTGTTGTACATAGGGTTGCTATAGTTCACAAGCGACTTGACAGCACGTAACAACAACAACAACTACAACATGATTAACAATGCCCCACCCCACCCCGCTGCTCTCATCGCCCCCCCTTGAATCTTCATACTCGTTCTATAATGATGGTCTTATACATTATTTGTCCTTATGGGACGGAGTTAGTTCATTTAACATAATGTTCTCCAGTCCCTCCCAAGTTAGGCAGTGATTTAAAAAATCATTGCTCCTGCATGCTGTGTAGTATTCCATCCAGTGAATGAACCACAATTTCTCAATCCATTCCATTGTGGTGGACATCTGAGCTGTTTCCACGTTCTTGCGATGGTGAATAATGCTGCCGTGAACACTGGTGTACAAGTCTCCGTTTCTGCCTCAGTTCTCATTTTCTCAGGGTATATTCCACGTAGTGGAATTTCTATGCTCAGCTTTTTGAGGAAACGTCAAAGTGCCTTCCAGAATGATTGTACCATTTTACAATCCCACCAACAATGTACAAGAGTTCCTATCTTGCCACATCCTCTCCAACATTTATTTCTTACTGTCATGTTAAACTCTGCCACTGCTACTGGGGGGAACTGATATCTCATTGTGGTTTTGATTTGCATCTCTTACTGCCAGTGTTTTTAAACATTTCTTCTCATCTGTCTGCTGGCCATCCAAGTATCTTCCTCTGTGAAAAGTCTTTCCATGTCTTCAGTCTTTTTCTTGTGGAGGCCCTGAAGGATTCTGTAAACTTGATAATGAGACCCTTACCTGAAACGGTAATGCCAGATGTTTTTTCCCAGTCAGCAGATTTTCTTTTTACTCTGTTGGAAATTGGTTTTGATGCACACAGGTATTTAATCTTTAGTAGAACGTCCCATTCACCAATTTCATCCTCTACAGATTGTGCATTTCTGGCTGTACTTGGCAGTCTCTTTATACCATATACTAGGCTGTCTAAGCTTGATCCCACATTGTCTCTGATAAGCTTTATGGTTTTGGGATTTACTCCCTGGTTTCTGATCCACTTTGAGTTTATTTTTGTGTACGGTGTGATATCCTGTTTCAGTTTACTGAAGATAGCAGTCCAGTTTTGCCAGCACCATTTGTTTAAGAGGTTGTCATTTCCCCATTTGATAGGTTTTATTTCCTTGTCAAATATCAGCTGGCCATAGATAGCTGGGTCCACTTCTGGGTTCTCAATTCTGTTTCAATGCTCCATGTGCCTGTCATTGTACCAGTACCATGCTGTTTTGGTTACTACAGCTCTGTGGCAGGTTGTGAGGCCAGGGAGTGCTATGCCTCCCAATTCAGTTTTGTTTCTCTGAAGTGTTTTGCTTATTCGGGGTCTCTTGCCTCTCCAAATAAACTTGAAAATTTTCCTTTCAATCTCCTTGAAAAATGAGTTTGGTATCTGTATTGGGATTGCATTTAATATGTAAATTGCTTTTGGTAGGACTGTCATTTTCACAATATTGAGTCTCCCTATCTATGAACAGGGCACATCTTCCCTTTTCTTTGGGTCTTTTACTGTGTCTTACAGTGATCTGTAGTTTTCTTTGTACAGGTCTTTTGTATCTCTAGTTAGGCTCACTCCCAAGTATCTCAATTTGTGGTTGGCTATTGTAAATGATATTGCTTTCTGAGTTATCTTTGTTACTGTAGAGAATCCCACTGACTTCTGGATAATAATCTGATATCCTGCCACTCAACTAAATTGGCCCACTAGCGCTAACAGGTTTTTTGTTGAGTCTTTGGGGTTTTCTGTGTACACTCTCTTATCATCTGCATATACTGATAGCTCAGCCATCTCTTTGCCTATATGGATGCTTTTTATTTCCTTCTCTTGTCATATTACCCTAGCAAGCATTTCCAATACAATACTGAATAGAAGTTGTGACAGTGGGCATCTTTGTCT